ATTATTTTTGCCTGTTACAAACATATGCACAAAGTTATAATACCCCGTACCTCAGTTTGGTGAAGGGTATAAAAATCTGGTAATTATATTCCGTTAATCAATTTGGTGGTTTCGGGAACATAATTAAAACTTCCTTATTATCTCTTTATGGCCATACCTTGCTACAATAGACTATTTGGTATTCCAAATCTACACTCAGTCAGCATTTCCATTTTCCGGCAACAATGTATATATAAATCCACACAAAAATTTACGAATCTAAAGCCGAACAAATTTTTCAGATAGGTCAGTGATCTAAAAAACAAAATTCCTCCACAAAGTATCTGTATGAGTTACAACATACGTCTGTATAATAAACTTACCAAAGCAAATTGCATTCATCTAAAGTGTTGAGACCAACCTGAGTGAGTCTAACACCATGTGTATTCTGAGTTAATTCTTCATTACCTTTGGCTGACTCTTGCCTTTGCGTTTGCAAGTGGACGTTTTATTTATGAGCTTCTTTCACCTTTTTTTGTGATACACCATTCAGATCGTAAATCTAAATGTTTTTTCTCTCTCCCTTTCCTTTCTTTCACACATACATAAATGTCAGCAAGTTTTTGTCATCTGTTTTGACACATAGCTGAAGGCTACCTTGACAGGACTTATGTGATTTGTTCGCCTTTTTTGTATGTCCTGTTCATCAAGGCTTTCACGTCCGTTGCATCATTAAAATATAATTTGTATGTATGTAAATACTAATTTTTTTCACTTTTGCCTTTTTTGTTTTATTTCGCCAGATGTAGTATTGAATTAAATGTCAGAATTTTAAAGAAAGTAAAAAAAAACATAAATATTTTTGAGTTCTTAATTTTTATTCTGCTTGTCACTGGTTTACCTTAATGTCTCCTATGTGGGATCAACGACTCTTCAGAGCGTCAATATAGACACTCAGAGCCTTTACATTGTATATAAATTCCCTGTTCTTAATTTTGTCTACAAAGACTCCACATCATTAAGTTCGGAGATTCTCTGGCCCTTAGCTCTATTAAGGGAACCCCCCATTCTCGATTTTAATTTTTCAAGATTTTCAATGGGCTGGTAAATCAATACCAATGCTTGTTAAGGTTTGTAACTTTGCACCTATATATTTGGAGATTTAAAAGAGAAGAAAAATAATTTACAAAAAATTTTTGTTATTGTTTTGTTGTTGTTTTTTGTAATTAAAGAAAAGTCCTTATTTTTGATGATAACTCCTCACTGGAACATCGGAATCCGAAAATTCCAACGGTGTTAGAAAGAGTACATGTCTGGCTCTCGTATGAACTAGGATTATTGACTTCGCTCTAAAATTAACAAAATGGTGGACCTTTGAAAAAATATTTTTGGAAAATCGCCGATTTTTTACCAAAAACCAAGTTAAAAATAAGGAAGGTCTTCACCGATTGGCTTTATCCTAGTTCATACGAGAGCTATACACTCCCAGAGAAACGTTGCACAATTTGGAACCGATTGGATTCTTAGTTTTTGAGTTATCGTGCCCGCCATTCGCAAAAAAAATGTTTAGAGAAAAACGCGTTTAAATTTTGAGAGGGCCTTCAGTCATCACTTGATGCTGACACAATAAATCGGCTATATCTTCAAGAGTTCTTGAGATTTTCACTTGAAATTTTGTAGAGACATTCTTTAATCAGTGTAGATTCGATTTATATCAACAAAAATTTTGACCCCGAGAATGGGGGGGGGTCCCCTTAACTTGATCTAAAGCTCTGTCTCTGTTTTCTAGAATTTTATCCTAATTCTTTAAAAAAATCAAATTGTATTTTTCAAAAAAAAAAAAAAATAAATAAATAAATAAATAAAGAAAAAACACCACAGGGATCCTACAGGACAGAGTTTTATACCCTCAGCCTTATGCCTAATGAGGGTATATACACTTTGCTAGGGCAAAAATGTGCCTCATCGAAATACTTATATTCTTCAGACAATTTGGAGTCGATAATCGTTTGTCTGGATGTTGGGAAAAAATAAATACATTATTTTTCTATGAATTATAGGACATTATTTAAGATGCTTCGGAATGTCCGACTTGGGCTAAATATGCACGGTTTTGTTATATGATTTGTTGCCATTTTAAAGGTCTCTCTCATAGAAGTCGTGCTCTTTATTTGCAAAAAAAAACCTCTAGTAGTCGATTTTCACAATCCTCCCTAGATACTAATTTTTTATCATTAAAGAAATTTTGCAATGCAAGAAAAAGATGATAATCGCTTGGTGCCAAGTCCGGACTGAAAGCGGATGCATTTAAACTTCCCAACTAAGTTCCCGAAGTTTCAGGCGAGTCACTGTAGATGTGTGTGACCTAGCGTTGTCCTGGTGGAACACGACACTTCATCTGTTGGCCAATACTGGCCGTTTCTGGTCAATTGCTATCTTCAAACGGTCCAGTTGTTGACAGTAGGTATCAGAATTTAGCGTTTGGTCATATAGAAGCAACTCATAATAAATAATCCCCATTCCACCAAATGCATAGCAGAACCTTCCTGGCCGTTAGTCCTTGTTTGGCCACCGTTTGATGTGCTTGACAGCTCTTTGACACGATCAGATCTATACCTTTTCAATAGAACAATTTCCGTAATCGCACAGAACCTTATCATTTTCTATAGCATATATTCTATAGACAACCCAGTCACACTCTCTTCATATCTCCATAGAAGTTCTCTTCAGACTCAGTCCTAGAGTGCTCTATGAGCATTAGCCTGTAAAGACTATCTATGAAGACTTCATCTTGTCTTTAAAGGACTCCCTTCAGCTCATTTATTAATAACTCCCATCAGCTTGTGTATAAAAGACTCCCACCAGATCGTCTATAAAGACTCTCCTCATATTGTCTATGAAAGACTCCGTTCAGTTCGTCTGTGAAAGCCACTTTTCACCTAGTCTCTGGATGACCCGGTTCAGCTGGTCTATGGAAGACCCGGTTCAGCTCGTCTATAGAGAAAACCTTCAGCTGGCCTGTGAAAAACCCGATTCACCTCGTCTATGAAAGACCCGGTTCAGTTCCTCTATGAAAAACCCCGATTCATTTCATCTATGAATGGAAGACACGGTTCAGTTCATTTATGAAAGAGACTCTTCACTCCCTTCAGCTCGTCTACGAAAGACTTCCTTCAGCACGTCTCTTTAAGACCCGGTTCAGCTTGTCTATGGAAAAAAACGGTTTAGTTCTTTTATGAAAGAAACCCTTCACTCCCTTCAGCTTGTCTATGAATGACTCATTTCAGCTCGTCTATGAAAGACTTCCTTCAGCGAGCCTGTGGACCCTCCCTTCAGCTCGTTTATAAAGGCTTTCTTGAGCTCGTCTATAAAGACTCTCTTGTGCTCGTCTATAAAGACTCTCTTGAGCTCTTCTATTAAGACTCTCATGAGCTCGTCTATAGAGACTCCCTTCAGGTAGTCTATGAAAGACTCCTTCAGCTCGTCTTCGTAAGACCCTGTTCAGCTCGTCTATGAAAGGCACGGTTCAGTTGATTTATGAAAGAGACCCTTCCCTCCCTTCAGCTTATCTATGAATTACTCCCTTCAACTGGTCTATGAAAGACTTCCTTCAGCGAGTCTGTGGGCACTCCCTTCAGCTCGTTTATAAAGACTCTCTTGAGCTCTTCTATAGATACTCTCTTCAGCTGGTCTATAGAGAGTCCCTTCAGCTGGTCTATGAAAGACTCCTTTCAGCACCCCTACTATGAATCTCTAGGGAAACTACCTTGTGCTCGTCTATAGAGACTCCCTTCAGCTCGTCTATAGAGACTCCATGCATCAGCTCGTCTATAGAGACTCCCTGCATCAGCTCGTCTATAGAGACTCCCTGCATCAGCTCGTCTATAGAGACTCCCTGCATCAGCTCGTCTATAGAGACTCCCTGCATCAGCTAGTCTATAGAGACTCCCTGCAACAGCTCGTCTTTTAGCTCGTCTATAGAGACTCCCTGCTTTAGCTCGTCTATAGAGACTCCCTGCTTTAGCTCGTCTATAGAGACTCCCTGCATCAGCTCGTCTATAGAGACTCCCTGCATCAGCTCGTCTATAGAGACTCCCTTCAGCTCGTCTATAGAGACTCCCTTCAGCTCGTCTATAGAGGCTCCTTTCAACTCGTCTATGAAAGTCTCTATTCAGCTCGTCTATAAAGACTCCCTTTAAAATGTCTATAACGACTCCTTCCAGCTCTACCAGAAATATTTCCTTCAGCTGGTGTATGAAAGACTTCCTTCAGCCCGTCTATAAATACTTCTTTCAGCTCGTCTATACAGGCTGCCTTCTGCTCGGATATAAAGACTCGCTCCGGCTCGTCTATATAACCTCCCTAGAAACCCTCCCCAGTTCGCCTTTAGAGCGTCCGTTCAGCTCGTACCAGCTTCAAATTTCCTTTAAATGCAACATAGGCAAGATTTCGGTTTCAAAGACTCTCTGAGCTTCAGCTAGCCATTAAAGAATCATGTCTTCATAGACTAGCAATGGAGCCTCCCTGACATAAGCTTGGCCAAAACGACTATCTGAGCTTCGAGTTACCTTTAAAGACACCATGAACATCAGTTTGCCAATAAACAGTCCATGACTTATAGTTTCAAGTTTGTTAAAGACTCCCTGAGCATCGGCTAACCTTAAAAGGCTCCCAGAACTTTAGATCGCCCTTAAAAACTCTCATGACTTTGGCGCGCCGTTAAACTCTACCGAAGATTTACATCGACTATAAGGATCCCCTGAACTTCAGATCGCCTATAAACACCTTCGGTTCGTTGTTTACTTACCTTTGGGTTCGACATAGATTTCTTCTTATATTGAAATAAAACCATAATCCGTTAATTTTAATTTTCATAAATTTAATATTTCTTTAATTTAAATTTTATTTTTTGGTTTTGTTGTTATTTTTTTTTATAATTCTACTTCTTTTAACTGGAATTGAGTCTTATATCTAGTATTTTTTGTTTTCTATTTGGTTTTTGTTTTCCTTCCTAACTCTTTATTCCTAAAACACTTAATCATACAATGGTGCTCTTAACTATCGTCGTATCGACATTGTGTTGCCCGGAAATTGTGGTTTATTGGAAGCCGAAAAGAACCGCTTGCAGGTCAAACGCCAAAATGCAGCCCGAAAGTCAACCGAGTAGAATGCATAGATGAACGGATTGATGGCACTGTTACACCAACCGAGCCAGGTCAAACCCTTGGCCAGTGTCCGACTGACCTGATGTTCGTGCAGGAATGGTGTTATCAGGTAATAGACAAAGAATGGCAGCCAACAAGCAATAAAGCCGCCCACAACAATGCTAAGCGTCTGAGTGGTCTTATTCTCCTTTTTCAACGAAGTAATGCGATTCGATAGTGATTTGGTATAGTTGTGGCCGTGCGAGTGATGGGACGAACGATTGACGCCCGTCGCCACCGCCGCCGACATCGGTTGGGATTGTTGTCGTAGTATTGATGTGGCAACATTGTTACCCGGTGCCATAATATCTGATGTGACAGCCAATAGGGTGGCTGGCGGTGCACTCATGTAGTGCTGATGTCGTACGCTATGCGTACGCATTGCCTTGTTGGGATGTGAATGTTGTTGGTAATGCGCGGTGGATGAGGGATTTGTAGCCGCGGCTGCTGAAAATGTCCATGGATTTTCGATATTTGTACTTGCTGTTGCTGTACTGGTACCACCACTCGTTGTTGTCGTTGTTGTGGTCATCAGCGTCATATTCGAGGCGGCTGTGGGTGTACGCCGCAATGAAGTGGCCCGTGTCAGCTCGTAACAACCATTTTTGTTGGCAGAGGGTGCCGTTGCCGAGGATGGCGTTGCCAGCAACGAATGGCATTGTGTGGTGACTTCATTATCGGAAGCCATTATTTCATGCAACTCCTTGGCCAGTGTTTGATTGGAGAGGGTGCGGGCGGCGGCCTGTTTCTTTTGGCCCGAGCTTAAATCTAATTCCGATATATCGGGATCTAATTCATTTTCCACATCGGCAGATGTGTAACGTTTGAATTTCTGCAAAGAAGAGAAAATCTGATTATTTTCTTTTTCTGGCTCGAAAATGTGTTTTCCCATTCGACCCACCTTATTATTATGTATACTAATATCGGTCATATTATCATGTCGTGCTGCCACCACACATGATATCCTGACATAGACATAAATCATCACCGCCATGGGTATAAAGAACGAGCCCATGGCCGAGAATATCACATATCCTTCGTTCTGATTGTAACGGCATTCACTTAAATCACGGCGTCCCGGTTCATACCTGCAAAAAAGGGGGAAGGAAAAAAAAACAATCGGATAAATAAAAAACAGAATAGAAGGATCACATATCGCATTTCCATCCGACACACACACACATACATCCTTTGTTCCATTTCAATGAATTAAACAGAAAGCCAGACAGTTGTTGAGAAATGGGGTTTTGTTCTTTTGTTTGGGGCTGACCCGTTGCTGACCTATTGAAATGAAATTTAAAAATTTATTTAAACATAAAATTGGCCCGAAATTTTTTTTCTCTAACTGTCAACAAAAACACAAAAGAGCGTAAACATTGTCTGGCCAATTATTATATAAGCAAACAATAACCAAAGGAGACCTTTAGACAAAGCTGTTTTCGTTTTTTTACTAATGGTAGTCTGAATTTTGTATTCAAATTTACCTTTGTGGCCAAATGAAGGACACAGCTGTTGACGTAAAAATTTTTTTTTGAAAAATTGAAGAGACTTGAGGTTACGGTCCTTATGCTGATTAGATCTATAGTAGTACATCAATTATCACACAAGAGGATGAACATGGGCAAATTAAATCAATGAACACCCTCCTTTTCAAAGGAGAACATTTTTTGAAAAAAAACGGCAAAATATTCGGATGTAAGAAGGTAAGGAACGGGCCGAACTCGGGCGGAGCCTACTATACATTGGGTCCCTGACGCACCATTTACATCAAATCGGACGAAAAATAAATCCATTATTATATATGGGACCTTAATTAACATGCTTCGGAAAGTCCGACGTTCGATACATATGCACGGTTTTGTTGTATGGTTTGTTGCCATTTTAAAGGTAACATCATAATGCCTCTCTCATAGAATTCCAACTCTCTATTTGCAAAAAAAAAAAAAAAACTCCAGTAGTCGATTTTCACAACCCTCCCTAGATACCAATTTTTTCATTAAAGAAATTTTGCAATGCAGTTCAGACTCGCTTGGTGCCAAGTTCGAACTGTATGGCGGTGGTATTAAAACTTTCCAACCAAGCTCCCGAAGTTTCTGGCGAGTCACTGTAGATGTGTGTGGCCAACAAAGCTCCCGAAGTATCTGGCGAGTCACAGTAGATGTGTGTGGGCTAGTGTTGTCCTGGTGAAAAGCGACACCTCTCCTGTTGGACAATTCTGGCCGTTTCTAGTCAATTGCTATCTTCAAACGGCCCAGCTGTTGACAATAGAGATCAGAATTTAAAGTTTGGCCATGTGGAAGCAAATCAGAATAAATACTCCCCTTCCAGTCCCACCAAATGCATAGCAGAACCTTCCTGGCCGTTAGTCCTGGTTTGGGTACCGTTTGAGGGGCTTCACCGCTCGTTTTCGCACAGGGTTATCGTATGTGATCAATTTCTCAACTCCAGTCACCATCCGTTTAAGAAATGGGTCTATCTACTTCCATTTGGCCAAGGCTTCGCAGATGGAAATTCGATCCATCCTATCCATCGAGCTTCTTTTTGAATCCAGCTTTGTGTAAATGTTTTAAAACAGTTTTATGGTCGATTTTTAGCTTTTGGGCGATGTTACGACTGCTAACATGCCGGCCAACTTTGATCATTTCTCCGATTTTATCGATATTTTCATAATGGATTTCTTTTTCCCCAAACTAATATTTTTCCAAAATTGATTCTAAACTTCTAGGATCCCGGAATTGAAAATTGCAGACACTTCAGGGGGGAAATGCGGCCAAACCCTTCAGTTCGTTTATGGAGAATTGTTACAGCTCGTTCATAGGGATTTCCTTCAGCAGGACTTCTGGAGCTTTAGCTTCTCTATAAAGACTCCCTTCAACTCTTAAGGGGACCCCCCCATTCTCGGGGTCAAAATTTTTGTTGATATAATTCGAATCTACACTGATTAAAGAATTCAAGTGAAAATCTCAAGAACTCTTGAAGATATATCCGATTTATTGTGTCAGCATCAAGTGACGGCTGAAGGGCTTCTCAAACTTTAAACGCGTTTTTCTCTAAACATTTTTTTGCGAATGGCGGGCACGATAACTCAAAAACTAATAATCCAATCGGTTCCAAATTTTGCAACGTTTCTCTGGGAGTGTATAGCTCTCGTATGAACTAGGATAAAGCCAATCGGTGAAGATCTTCCTTATTTTTTAACTTGGTTTTTGGTAAAAAATCGGCGATTTTTCAAAAATATTTTTTCAAAGGTCCACCATTTTGTTAATTTTAGAGCGAAGTCAATAATCCTAGTTCATACGAGAGCCAGACATGTACTCTTTTTAACACCGTTGGAATTTTCGGATTCCGATATTCCAGTGAGGAGTTATCATGCCCGCCATCAAAAATAAGGACTTTTCTTTAATTACAAAAAACAATAACAAAATTTTTTTGTAAATTATTTTTCTTCTTTTTTAAATCTTCAATTATATATGTGCAAAGTTACAAACCTTAACAAGCATTGGTATTGATTTACCAGCCCATTGAAAATCTTGAAAAATTAAAATCGAGAATGGGTGGGGTTCCCTTAAATAAGAACTCCCTTCAATCTATAGAGACTAAATTCAGCCCGTCTATAAAGACTCACTTCAGATCATCTATAGAGACGCCCCTCTGTTCGTCTATAGAGACCCCCTTTAGTTCGTCCGCTGGTCTATAGGACACCCTATAGCGCGTCTATAAAGGCTCCCTTCATGCCATCAATAGAGACTCCCATCAGCTCGTCTACAGAGACTCTCTTCAGATCGTCTACATATATAGACTTCCTGGAGCTCGTCTATAGAGACTCCCTTCAGATCGTCTACATAAACTTCCTTCAGGTCGTCAATAGAAACATTCTTAAGCTCGTCTATAGAGACTCCTTTCAGATCGTCTATGGATGTTCCCTTCAGATTCCCGAGATTCCCTTCAGTCTACAGAGACTCTCTTCAGATCCTTTACATATATAGACTCCCTGGAGCTCGTCTATAGAGACTCCCTTCAGGTCGTATGTAGAGACTTTCTTCAGATCGTCTGCAGAAACTTTCTTCAGGTCGTCAATAGAAACTTTCTTCAGCTCTTCTATAGAGACTCCTTTCAGATCATCTATAGAGATTCCCTTTAGATTGTCGATCGACATTCCCTTCAGCTTGTCTATCGAGATTCCCTTCTTCAGTTCATCTATAGAGTTTCCCTGCTTCAGATCCTCCATAGATACTCCCTGTTTCAGGGGGTCCTCAGCAATAAGGACTCCCTCTATAGACTTCCTTTACTTCACCAGCTCGTCAATGAAGACTCCCTTCTGCTTGTCTATGGAGACTTCATTCTGTCTTTAAATACTCCCTGATCTCTATCTAGTCTTCAGCTCGCCAGGGGGTTTTCAGCCCTGAAACACTCAGGAAATACTTATAGCTCCCCAGCTTCAGCGGTAAATTAATATTTGATATATTTAAAAAATTTGATGCCGCATGGGTGCTTACCACCCTACACATGTCGAAAATGATGCGAGACCTTTATATGCCTATAAATACTGATATGTCAAAGTATAACTTTTTCGGTTATAAACCTTCAAACTATCGAAAATAGGGCGAGGAGACATTTTTGTATGAAGGATATGCCAAAACATGGACCAGAAGTGATAATTTTGACAAATTATAGCCTTTTGTTGGTAGATTTGGTTAAAAAACGAAATTACAAGACCCACAACGAAATTTGGTTATGGATGAAACACTTCGAGGCAAATGCTCGCCCGTTTTTTCGGCAAACCAGATCTTTCTCGACTGTTTGGCTTATGCTATAGGCGAGAATTTTTTTTAAATATTATCCCAAGATCTGGCCAAAAGTGCGAATTTTTAAGATTATTTTCATGGACCTTTAAGCGTGTTTTTTTAAGAATATTTTTATTTGAACCTATAGGCTTGGCTTTTTATACCCTTCACCACACTGTGGTACAGGGTATTTTGTCTTTGTGCATATGTTTGTAACAGGCAAAAGGAAACGAGATAGACACATGGTTCCTTTTAAGAATATGCATAGAATCACTTTCTGAGTCGATTTATGCATGTCCGTCCGTCCGTACAGACGGACGTCTGTCCGTCTGTAGATGTTAAATTGTAAACAAAGTACAGGTCGCATTTATGATCCGATTGGGATGAAATTTGGCACAAGTCACTTATTTGGCCCAAGGACGAACCCTATTGAAATTGGGAAAAATCTGTTCAGTTTTAGATATAGCTCCCATATATATTTTCTTCCGATTTAAGGTAAATGAGGCACCAAAGTCCCTATATATCTTTCGATTTGCACGAACTTTGGCATAGAGTACTAAATTAGGTCCAGAATGATGTGTGCCAAGTTTCAAGATAATTGGTTCAGATTTAGATATAGCTCCCATATATAGTTTCGTCCGATTTAATAAATACTGATATGTCAAAGTATAACTTTTTCGGTTATAAACCTTCAAACTATCGAAAATAGGGCGAGGAGACATTTTTGTATGAAGGATATGCCAAAACATGGACCAGAAGTGATAATTTTGACAAATTATAGCCTTTTGTTGGTAGATTTGGTTAAAAAACGAAATTACAAGACCCACAACGAAATTTGGTTATGGATGAAACACTTCGAGGCAAATGCTCGCCCGTTTTTTCGGCAAACCAGATCTTTCTCGACTGTTTGGCTTATGCTATAGGCGAGAATTTTTTTTAAATATTATCCCAAGATCTGGCCAAAAGTGCGAATTTTTAAGATTATTTTCATGGACCTTTAAGCGTGTTTTTTTAAGAATATTTTTATTTGAACCTATAGGCTTGGCTTTTTATACCCTTCACCACACTGTGGTACAGGGTATTTTGTCTTTGTGCATATGTTTGTAACAGGCAAAAGGAAACGAGATAGACACATGGTTCCTTTTAAGAATATGCATAGAATCACTTTCTGAGTCGATTTATGCATGTCCGTGTACAGACGGACGTCTGTCCGTCTGTAGATGTTAAATTGTAAACAAAGTACAGGTCGCATTTATGATCCGATTGGGATGAAATTTGGCACAAGTCACTTATTTGGCCCAAGGACGAACCCTATTGAAATTGGGAAAAATCTGTTCAGTTTTAGATATAGCTCCCATATATATTTTCTTCCGATTTAAGGTAAATGAGGCACCAAAGTCCCTATATATCTTTCGATTTGCACGAACTTTGGCATAGAGTACTAAATTAGGTCCAGAATGATGTGTGCCAAGTTTCAAGATAATTGGTTCAGATTTAGATATAGCTCCCATATATAGTTTCGTCCGATTTAAGGTAATTGCTGCACCAAAGTCCCAATATATCACTCGATATGCACGAAATTTGGAATAGAGTACTGAATTAGGTACAGAATGATGTGTGCTAAGTTTCGTGAAAATTGGTTCAGATTCAGATATAGCTCCCATATATAGTTTCGTCCGATTTCATGTAAATGGTGCACCAAAGTTCCAATATATCATTCGATTTACACCAAATTTGGCATAGCGTACTAAATTGAGTCTAGAATTATGTGTGCTAAGTTTCGTGAAAATCGGTTCAGATTTAGATATAGCTCCCATATATAGTCTTGTCGGATTCTATGTAAATGGTGCAACAAAGTTCCTATATATCTTTCGATTTGCATAGAATTTGGCACGGCGTACTGAATTAAGTCTAGAATGATGTATGCTAAATTTGGGAAAATCGGTTCTGGTTTCGACATAGATTCAACATATACATATATATTCGTCCGATTTTACATAAATGGTGCACCAACCTTCTAATGTTTGTCCGATTAATACGAGTTTTTGCATAACGTATCAAGTTGAGACTTGAATAACGATATTGCGTTTGGTTGAAATTGATGTAGATGCTGTCATAGCGTCTTTAAATTTTGCTATTTGTCCCATGGTACGAAGTCGACTTAAAATATGCCTGAATGAAATTAAATGTATCATAGGTTGCTGAAAGACGTGCGTATGTTCCTTGGAGGGGATACATATGTACACTATACCCAAAGTGGTGAAGGGTATCATATAGTCGGCCCAGTCCGACTTTACTGCTTTCCTTACTGGTTTTAAGAATATTTTTTCAAGGAGGATATTTTTCAAGGAGCTATAGGTGGGGATTTTGTAAGAATATTTTTTCAAGGAGCTATGGGCCTTGATTATTTTTGAACCAAAGAACAAGAATATTGTTCACCATGACAATCCGAGTTCTAACATAACGTCTCAAACAAGTTTCTTTATGGCCGGCAACAACGTTGAATTGATGGACCATATGCTGAACAACTTTTGGCGTTGTTCTCTCTCTCCAAAATACAGAATTGAGGGGACCTTCTTTTTCGGTCGTAAATAATATTTGTATTGCTCTTTGCTCTATAGTTCTCTCAACTGTATTTGCAGACATTAGCTTGTTTTCTTTTCTTTATTTTTATTACCTTTCATCTGAAATCCATTTTTGTGTAAAATAAAATAGAAAGGATGTCCTGCAATTTGCCTTTTTAAGCTTCTCTCATGACTAAAATCTGAAAAGGGTCTGGAAAATAGCGACATTGCTTTTAATTACTGCAACAAATAATCCAATAAATAGATGTCAAAGAAAGATAACTCCATACTACTGCACTCCAATATTATTCTTCATCTCCTGATCTGACAACCACATTAATACCAATTTTTCTAAATCACCACAAAAGTTCGTTCGAAAAACATTATTTTTTTTTTCGTGCGAAAATGATAAAATAACAAAGACTCATTATTACAATATTAATTACTTTCCAAGTACCGTTCTCTTCAAACTGTTAACACCCACCAGCTAATCTGGTCGAAATCTTTTTGTAACGTAAACAAATTTTAATTAGACATTCATTATGTAAATAAATAATGAAAATCATTAAATTTTGTGAAGGAACAGCAACAACAAGAACAATGCTAGCAACACCACAAAAATGCCAAAAAATATTTTCTAATTTTTCGGTTTTTGTTTCTTGGCTTTTTTGTTACAGGAGGTGTAGAAAATTTGAGATCAACACAGGGGCAGCAGCGCTGTGACAACAACAAATATTTGCATAAATTTAAATCAAATTTTCAGAAGAAAGTGGAAATGAAAACGAAGTGTAAGTGAGTTAACCTGTAAAATGAACAAAGGATGTTGTCACCGCTGGCTTTTTGGGTTAGGGAGAGGGGGATTTTGTGGTTCTACAACCATTACTTACCAGCCTAATATGGGCGGACAGGTAATGGCCAAAGCCAGCACCCATACAATGAGTATCATGATAAGAGCCAAACGTTTGGAGCGACGTTTGCGTGAATATGTCAAGGGCCGGGTGACAGCTAAGTAACTGTAACGAAAATGAGAACGAAAAAAAGGAGGTGAGATAAAATAAACACAAATATACATTTAGTTAAATTAATTATTTATTTGTCACTAGAAATAGGGGAAAATCGACTGTACAAGGACTAAATGTGCTGTGCAAGAAGGACTGAAAAACATCTGAAGCCAGCTGAGCTATAGGCATAGATTTCTTAAAGCATTTTTTGCCAAGGACTATCTGTTTTTTTAAAGGTATATTTTTTGTAAGGACTATAGGAGTGGATTTTTTAAAGAACATATATTCAAGGATTTGATGAGCCATATGCGTGTATTTTGTAAAGAATATTTTGAAAAATATTCTTTTTTATTTTTAAAAATATTCTTTACAAAATACACGCCTATGGCTCATCAAGTCCTTGAATATATGTTCTTTAAAAAATCCACTCCAATAGTCCTTACAAAAAATATTCCTTTAAAAAACCAGATAGCATGGCTTTTGTAAAGATTTTTTGCAAGCACCAACACATTTATAGGTGTGAATTTTTCAAAGAATTATTTGCAAGCACCATCTTTTTTATAGGAATGGATTTTGAAATATATTTTCAAGGGCTAGATGAGCCATATACGTGGATTTTGTAAATAACATTTTCCAAGCACCAACTCATATATAGGTGTGGAGTTTTAAAAAATAATTATAGGCGTGAATTTTTTTAAGTAATAATTTTCCAAGGACCAACACATATATAGGCATGGATTTTTCCAAGGAACAACACATATATAGGCATGGATTTTTCCAAGGAAATTATATAAGCACCAACTCATCTATAGGCGTGGATTTTTCAAATAATAATTTTCCAAGGACCACCACATAATAGGCGTGGATTTTTTAAATAATAATTTTCCAAGGACCACCACATAATAGGAGTGGATTTTTTAAATAATAATTTTCCAAGGACCACCACATAATAGGCGTGGATTTTTTAAATAATAATTTTCCAAGGACCACCACATAATAGGCGTGGATTTTTCCAAGGACCAACACATATATAGGCATGGATTTTTCCAACATATATAGGCATGGATTTTTCCAAGGACCAACGCATATATAGGCGTGGATTTTTCCAAGGACCAGCTCTTCTATATGCGTGGATTTTTCCAAGGACCAACTCATCTATAGGCGTGGATTTTTTTCAAGGACCAGCTCTTCTATATGAGTGGATTTTTTTCAAGGACCAGCTCTTCTATAGGAGTGGATTTTTCTAATGTGTGCATTTTTAAAGGATTTTTCTAAAAAATATTTTTCCAAGGATTGCCTGAGATCAAGGCGTGGATTTTTCTAAAGAATATTTTTTCAAGGACTGCCTGAGATCGAGGTGTGGATTTTTCTAAAGAATATTTTTTCAAAGACTGCCTGAGATCAAGGGGTGTATGTTTATAAAGAATATATTTTCAAGGACTGTCTGAGATCGAGACTATCGAATTTTTAAGGACCTGTGTTGAAGCATAGACCTTGATTTTTAAGAATATTTTTTTAAAGAATATATTTCCAAGGACTGCCTGAGGTCTAGATGTGGATTTGTCTAAAGAATATTTTCTCAAGGACTGCTTGAGATTGAGGCGTGGATTTTTCTAAAGAATATATTTCCCAGGACTGCCTGAGGTCAGGAGTGGATTTTTCTAAAGAATATTTTTCCAAGGACTGTCTGAGGTCTAGGTGTGGATTTTTCTAAAGAATATTTTTCAAGGGCCAACTGAGGCGTGGATTTATTAAAGAATATTTTTCAAGGGCCAACTGAGGCGTGGATTTATTAAAGAATATTTTTGCAAGGGCCAACTGAGGCGTGGATTTATTAAAGAATATTTTTCAACTGAGGCGTGGATTTATTAAAGAATATTTTTCAACTGAGGCGTGGATTTATTAAAAATATTTTTCAAGGTCCAACTGAGGCGTGGATTTATTAAAGAATATTTTTCAAGGGCCAACTGAGGCGTGGATTTATTAAAGAATATTTTTCAAGAGCCAACTGAGGCGTGGATTTATTAAAGAATATTTTTCAAGGGCCAACTGAGGCGTGGATTTACTAAAGAATATTTTTCAAGGGCCTGAATATTTTCAAGGGCCAACTGAGGCGTGGATTTATTAAAGAATATTTTTCAAGGGCCAGATCGAGACAAGCGGATTTTTAAGAGGCGTGGATTTGGATTTTTAAAGAATATTTTTCCAAGGACTGCCTGAGATCGAGGTGTGGATTTTTGTAAAGAATATTTTTCCAAGAACTGCCTGAGATCGAGGCGTGGATTTTTGTATAGAATATTTTTGCAAGGACTGCCTGAGATCGAGGCGTGGATTTATGGAAAGAATATTTTTTCAAGGACTGCCTGAGATCAAGGCGTGGATTTTTCTAAAGAATATTTTTCCAAGCACTGTCTGAGGTCTAGGTGTGGATTTTTCTAGACAATATTTTTTCAAGGACTGCCTGTGATCAAGGCGTGGATTTTTCTAGAGAATATTTTTCCAAGGACTGCCTGAGATCAAGCCGTGGATTTTTCTAAAGAATATTTTTCCAAGGACTGCCTGAGATCAAGCCGTGGATTTTTCTAAAAAATATTTTTCCAAGGACTGCCTGAGATTGAGGCGTGGATTTTTCTAAAGAATATTTTTTCAAGGACTGCCTGCGATGGAGGTGTGGATTTTTTTAAAGAATATTTTTCCAAGGACTGCTTGAGATAGAGGCGTGGATTTTTCTAAAGAATATTTTTCTAATGTCTGCCTGAAATCGAGGCGTGGATTTTTCTAAAGAATATTTTTCCAAGGACTGCCTGAGATCGAGGCGTGGATTTTTCTAAAGAATATTTTTGTCAAGGACTGCCTGAGATCTGCCTGAAATCAAAAAATTTCCAAGGCTGCCTGAGATTGAGGCGTGGATTTTTTAAAGAATTTTTTCCAAGGACTGCATGAGATCAAGGCGTGGATTTTTCTAAAGAAAAATTTCCAAGGACTGCCTGAGATTGAGGCGTGGATTTTTCTAAAGCACATATTTCCAAGGACTGCATGAGATCAAGGCGTGGATTTTTCTAAAGAAAAATTTCCAAGGACTGCCTGAGATTGAGGCGTGGATTTTTCTAAAGAATATTTTTCCAAGGACTGCCTGAGATCGAGGTGTGGATTTTTCTAAAGAATATTTTTCCAAGGACTGCCTGAGATCGAGGCGTGGATTTTTCTAAAGAATATTTTTCCAAGGTCTGCCTGAGATCGAGACTAGCGGATTTTTAAGAATATTTTTGCAAGGACCTAATATTTTTCTAATGTCTGCCTGAAATCAAGGCGTGGATTTTTCTAAAGAATATATTTCCAGGGGTTGTCTGAGGTCTGGGTGTGGATTCTTCCAAAGAATATTTTTTCAAGGACTGGCTGCGATCGAGGCGTGGATTTTTCTAAAGAATATTTTTCCAAGGTCTGCCTGAGATCGAGACTAGTGGACTTTTAAGAATATTTTTGCAACGACCTGTTTTGAGGCATAGATCTGAATTTTTAAGAATATTTTTGCAAGGACCTGAGTTGAGGCATAGACCTGGATTTTTAAAGAATATTTTCCACGGACCACCTAATCTATTGTTGAGGATTTTCCAAAGGATGTTTTTCAAAGGACTAGCTGAGTTTTATAGTTGGTATGTTTACATAAAATTTCTCAAGCAATACCTGAGAAATTGTCGCATATTTAGCTAAGCTAGGAGTCACTAAGAAAGTAGTGTGTGTGTACTTACCGATCCACACTAATCGCACATAAACTTAAAATTGATGCTGTACACAGTAGGACGTCCAAGGATATCCAGATATCACACAATATCCAACCAAGTTTCCATGAACCTTAAATACACAAGAAAATAACAAAAAAAGGTAGAGAGTGAGAATATTATTATAGAAAATTGCAAGTACAAACATATTAAAAAGGAAATGGAAATAAAGATGAAAACATACAAGTACACGCACTCAAACACACACACACCAACAATTTGTTTGAACGGAAAATATAAAAAAATAAATATATAAAGTTATGACATGCCTGAATGAGCTTGTGAACAACAAACGTTGATAACAAATTATGTATCGGCATGGACTCTATGGAAATTCTTTACATTTCCTACTCATTTATTTTGGCAAAAATAATGAGGTTTTTTTTTGGGTGGAAAACAAAGAAGAAACACCTCCACCTAACCTCACATAGATATCTTCACAAGTAAATAAATCATTGTTATAATAATCATAATAATAACCTCAAATAGACCGTACTTAATCATCGTAATTCAAGGTGAAATGTTTGTAGAAAATTTTGTGGTATTTTGAAGTGGATTATATAACAAGAAAAAAACACACACACACACAAATATTTAATCGTCTTAATAAATTACTTTTAAAAAATTGAGATGGATTCAAAAGTTAAACGAAAAAATTGGAGATTCTTACTTAGAAAAGCTTAAGCTTAAGGATACGGAAATTTTTATAGGCGAGCTCAATAGATTATTTATAGGCTAACGGAAGCTCAGGGCGCCATTGAAGTCGAGGTGAGGCTCAGGGTCTTTAACCGTCTAGCTGTGACTAAGGGAGATAGAGCTCACGAGCACTTTATAAGCATGCTAAATCTCAATGAGTCTTTAGCTGAAGCTCAATAAGTCTTTAAGAGTAAAGCTCAGGGGCACATAATATGCGAATTGACGACCATGGAAGCTTATTTAAACGAGCTGGAGCTCAGGGGCTCTTTACAGGCGAGCTGAGGCTCTGAGAGACTTTAGAAGCGTGATGAAGCTCATTGTAACTTTTTAGACAAACTGAAGCTCAGGGATACTTTATAAGCGAACTGATTATCGGGCTGAAAACACATGCAGTCTGTATATACGAACTAAAGTTCAGGAAGTCTTTCCAGTAAAGTGGAAACTCAGAGAGCTTTCATAGACTAGCAATAGCGACGATTTGTAGGGCGTGATTACAGATCAATTGCAGGGTCTAGACGAGCCAAAGGAAGTCTTTATAGACAAGCTAAAGGAAGCCTTTATAGACGAGTTTTACATAAGCGAGTTAAAGGGAGACTCTATAGACGATCTGAAGGGAGTCTTAAGCGAGTTTTTCATAAGTTTTCAGCGAGCTGAAGGGAATCTCTATAGACGAGCTGAAGGGCCAGTGAGTTTCTACAGATGAGCTGAAGGGCCATTCACTCTCTAGAGATGAGCTGAAGGCAGTCTTTATAGGTCGACAGTAGGGAGAGCTAAAGGCAGTCTCTATAGACGAGTTGAAGGTAATATCTATTGATGATCTGCAGGGAGTCTCTGTAGACGAGCTGCAGAGAGTCTTCAGGGAGTTTTTCATTAGCGGATGGAAGCGAGCTGAAGGGAGTCTCTCTATAGACGAGCTGAAGGGAGTCTCTCTATAGACGAGCTGAAGGGAGTCTCTCTATAGACGAGCTGAAAGGAGTCTCTCTATAGACGAGCTGAAGGGAGTCTCTCTATAGACGAGCTGAAGGGAGTCTCTCTATAGACGAGCTGAAGGGAGTCTCTCTATAGACGAGCTGAAGGTAGTCTCTCTATAGACGGACTGAAGGTAGTCTCTCTATAGACGAGCTGAAGGTAGTCTCTCTATAGACGAGCTGAAGGTAGTCTCTCTATAGACGAGCTGAAGGTAGTCTCTCTATAGACGAGCTGAAGGTAGTCTCTCTATAGACGAGCTGAAGGGAGTCTCTCTATAGACGAGCTGAAGGGAGTCTCTCTATAGACGAGCTGAAGGGAGTCTCTCTATAGACGAGCTGAAGGGAGTCTCTCTATAGACGAGCTGAAGGGAGTCTCTATAGACGAGCTGAAGGGAGTCTCTATAGACGAACAGAAGGGAGTCTCTATAGACGAACTGAAGGGAGTCTCTATAGACGAACTGAAGGGAGTCTCTATAGACGAGCTGAAGGGAGTCTCTATAGACGAGCTGAAGGGAGTCTCTATAGACGAGCTGAAGGGAGTCTTTATAGACGAACTGAAGTGAGTCTCTATAGACGAGCCGAAGTGAGTCTCTATAGACGAGCCGAAGTGAGTCTCTATAGACGAGCCGAAGTGAGTCTCTATAGACGAGCCGAAGTGAGTCTCTATAGACAAACTGAAAGTCAGGGAGTCTCTATAGACGAACTGAAGGGAGTCTCTATAGACGAACTGAAGGGAGTCTCTATAGACGAGCTGAAGGTAGTCTCTATAGACGATCTGAAGGGAGTCTCTATAGATGAACTGAAGGGAGTCTCTATAGATGAACTGAAGGGAGTCTCTATAGACGAACTGAAGGGAGTCTCTGTAGACGAAATGAAAGGAGTCTCTGTAGACGAGCTAAAGGGAGTCTCTCCATAGACGAGCTGAAGTGAGTCTCTCTATAGACGAACTGAAGGGCGTCTCTCTATAGTGAAGGGAGTCTCTCTATAGACGAACTGAAGGGAGTCTCTATAGACGAACTGAAGGGCGTCTCTATAGACGAGCTGAAGGTAGTCTCTATAGACGAGCTGAAGGGATTCTCTCTATAGACGAACTGAAGGGAGTCTCTATTAACGAGATTTCTTATAAACGAGCTGAAAGAAGTGAAGTTTTAAATCAAAACCATTTTATAGCTTGTTGGAAAGATCCATGTACACCCGCTAAGAATAGTCCCGATAAGAATTGTCGGAGAAGAGATTTTCTAAATTAGTGCTGAATGAAGTTTTTATAATCGAACTCGATTAGGAATTTGTTATAGTCAACATGAAGGATCTCCAAAGGACCAGTGAGTCTATATAGAAGGACGATACTACTGTCCTGGGCCTATATCGACGACAAATGGCCACTGAGGATATCTGAAGAACCTGAAGGTTTCATGTGTCCTTGTAGAAGACTGAAGAATCTTCAGTAGTGTTGGTGGGCTATTTGGGCTACAATTTTGGGGAGTCTCTCTATAGACGAGCTGAAGGGAGTCTCTCTATAGACGAGCTGAAGGGAGTCTCTCTATAGACGAGCTGAAGGGAGTCTCTCTATAGACGAGCTGAAGGGAGTCTCTCTATAGACGAGCTGAAGGGAGTCTCTCTATAGACGAGCTGAAGGGAGTCTCTCTATAGACGAGCTGAAGGGAGTCTCTCTATAGACGAGCTGAAGGGAGTCTCTCTATAGACGAGCTGAAGGGAGTCACTCTATAGACGAGCTCAAGGGAGTCTCTCTATAGACGAGCTGAAGGGAGTCTCTCTATAGACGAGCTCAAGGGAGTCTCTATAGACGAGCTGAAGGGAGTCTCTATAGACGAGCTGAAGGGAGTCTCTATAGACGAGCTGAAGGGAGTCTTTATAGACGAGCTGAAGGGAGTCTCTATAGACGAGCTGAAGGGAGTCTCTATAGACGAACTGAAGTGAGTCTCTATAGACGAACTGAAGGGAGTCTTTATAGACGAACTGAAGGGAGTGTCTATAGACGAACTGAAGGGAGTCTCTATAGACGAACTGAAGGGAGTCTCTATAGACGAACTGAAGGAAGTCTCTCTATAGGCGAGCTGAAGGGAGTCTCTCTATAGACGAGCTGAAGGGAGTCTTTGTAGACGAACTGAGGGGAGTCTTTACAGACGATCTGAAGGGAGTCATTATAGACGAACTGAAGGAGTCTTTATAGACGAACTGAAGGGAGTCTTTATAGACGAACTGAAGGGAGTCTTTATAGACGAACTGAAGGGAGTCTTTATAGACGAGCTGAAGGGAGTCTTTATAGACGAGCTGAAGGGAGTCTTTATAGACGAACTGAAGGGAGTCTTTATAGACGAGCTGAAGGGAGTCTTTATAGACGAACTGAAGGGAGTCTGTATATGACGAGCTGAAGTGAGTCTTTATAGGCGAGCCGAAGGGAGTTTTTTATAGACAAACTGAAGGGAGTCTTTATAGACCAGCTGAAGGTAGTATCTATAGACGATCTGAAGGGCTGTCTCTATAGACGAGCTGAAGGGAGTCTCTATAGACGAGCTCAAGGGAGTCTCTCTATAGACGAACTGAAGGGAGTCTCTATAGACGAACTGAAGGGAGTCTCTATAGACGAACTGAAGGGAGTCTCTATAGACGAACTGAAGGGAGTCTCTATAGACGAACTGAAGGGAGTCTCTATAGACGAACTGAAGGGAGTCTCTATAGACGAACTGAAGGGAGTCTCTATAGACGAGCTGAAGGGAGTCTCTATAGACGAGCTGAAGGGAGTCTTTATAGACGAACTGAAGTGAGTCTCTATAGACGAGCTGAAGGGGGTCTCTATAGAGGAGCTGAAAGGAGTCTTTATAGACGAACTGAAGTGAGTCTCTATAGACGAGCTGAAGTGAGTCTCTATAGACGAACTGAAGGGAGTCTCTATAGACGAACTGAAGGGAGTCTCTATAGACGAGCTGAAGGTAGTATCTATAGACGATCTGAAGGGAGTCTCTATAGACGAGCTGAAGAGGGAGTCTCTATAGACGAACTGAAGGCAGTACCTGTAGACGAGCTGAAGGGAGTCTCTATAGACGAGCTGAAGGGAGTCTCTATAGACGAGCTGAAGTGAGTCTCTATATAATACGAACTGAAGGGAGTCTCTCTATAGTGACGGGAGCTCTCTATAGACGAACTGAAGGGAGTCTCTATAGACGAACTGAAGGGCGTCTCTATAGGCGAGCTGAAGGTAGTCTCTATAGACGAGCTGAAGGGATTCTCTCTATAGACGAACTGAAGGGAGTATCTATTAACGAGATTTCTTATAAACGAGCTGAAAGAAGTGAAGTTTTAAATCAAAACCATTTTATAGCTTGTTGGAAAGATCCATGTACACCCGCTAAGAATAGTCGGAGAAGAGATTTTCTAAATTAGTGCTGAA